TCCAGCTACGCACAGGCCCCGGTCTGCTTAGCTTCCAAGTTTAGAGGAGATCAGGTGCTTTCAGCCCAGTATAGCAGAAGTGCATAAAACAGAGTACTGTTTTGTAACCCTGACTTGATATTTCAGAGGAGGAAATGAATATTATTGAGGAAGGCAATATTTACTTTTAATTTTTTTCTTCCTGAATAGGAGAATTGTTGAGTTACTGAGCCTTGTGCATTTGTCCTGGGAGAAGTGCGTGTGTGGGTGGATATAGATAAAAATCTGCAACTAGGTGCATGCGTGTGTTGCGCACTTAAGATCAAGAAATACATTTCAGCAGTATCTAAAGGCTTTTTCTGATAAAACATCGTATTTGCCAGAGTTAACTGTGTGTTCCTGTTTCTCTCTTCTCATCCTTTATATTTGTACTTTTTAACCAAAATAAGCTGCCTGTGGTACTAATTATATTTGTATCTCCGCAGTTGGAGTTGTTATCAATAGATGCAGTCAGTGTTGATTCATAGGTTTTTAGACAATTAATTGAGATTGTGTGTGTGGAGGGAAACGAATTATTTTTTTCTCTCCGTAGTTCTCTGTGCTTAATTAAATTAAATCAGTTTTCCATCTTTGCGAATGCATACTCTGGTTCCTTGAACTAGCATCTGCTAACTTGTTTCAGTCATTGAAGATACTGTCTGAAGCATACATGTGGTTTGGCAAAGCTTAGTACGTATAGAAAAACCAGAATTTTTTGTGCTGCTAAAAAGTACCATGTAGCGCATAGCACTTGTGTAGTACATGTGCTACCAAGAGAGAAATTATTGCCGTGAAAATGCTATCCAGTTTAAGAGAGGTGCTATAAAAGGAATATTTTAGCTGTTTTTCAATGTAGTTTGACCAGAATAACCAAAACTTGCCATGTTTGGTTGCCAGTTAAATTCAGAGAAGCATTGGTGCGGAGGCCGAATGCTGTTGCTTCTGATGGACTCTTGTGTCCCTTGGGAAGTGTGCCCAGTCTTAGGTAAACTTTAATTAGTGACAGCCTGAAGTTGTAGTTCATCTGTCTTCTGAATGCACATTATTCTGCAAGGAAATGATATTCATTCTCAGATACTACAGAGAGCCCTTTTGAGGAGGCCGTTGTGTCCAAGTTCTTCCACTTTGGAGGGGCTCGGCTTTTTAGGAGACGGCTGCAGCTTTTAAAACCAGATTTCTTAAGGTGTATCAACTTAAAATATGCTTTGGAAATTAAGGCCTTGAGCATCTGAGGTGCCATCAAATGTATTGCCTCCAGGCCATCTTTGATCAGGGCTTCACATGTCAAAATGTTTACCAGCAGCCTGAGTATGGCCAGGCTGAGATGCATCTCATCTGATGGAAACGCTGATAGCTATTTAAGGGCTAGACTTCAGCAACACGTACGTTGATAAGTGACCTCCCGAGAGCCGAATTTTAATGAATTGTTTATAAAGAAATGAAAATGATACCGTTTTAGTGATAAACGTGCATTGTGTATCAGGTTGCTACAAGAACGCTTGTTTTGGAAGTGTTTTAGTAATAAGCTGTTTATTTATTCTGTCATTTTGGGTATGTTATTTTCTTATTGGTAAGGTAGGGTATATATTTCCTGTATGGTAAAGCCCAGATAGTTTCTAATGTTGCCAATACTTTTTAGAAAAGGAAAAAATATTTACATAATTTTAGTATTTTCTTTAATTGTTTAGAACAAGTTTGTTAAAACTTACTTTAATTCGGGGGGGAAGGTGGGAATACTCACCAGACTACTGTAATAGGATTTACTGTTTTCAGTCAAGGGATTTTGTTAATGCAGATTCATACAATTCAGTTATTTTCAAGCAAAGCACCCATACTGTATGGTTTTGCACTTTTTCTGCTTTAGACACAGAGTAACACTTTCTAGCTGTATTAATTCCCCCCATCCCATTTGTTTGCAATTAACAATAACAACAAAAAGCTTTTCTAGAGGAAGATTTTTTTTTTTAATAATAGCAAAAGAGAATCTTCTGTTCAAAGCAGATCCACCCCAGAGGTGCTCAGGAGATGCACGATGGCTCAGGAGACAGAGGCTGTGCGCTTTCAACGCAAGCACTCCAGGAAGTGTCAGCATGACCGTTCGCTTTCCTCATCGTAAGGACCCTCCTGAACAAATAATCTGCTTAAAAATATAGGTACGCTGTTGAAATGCCAGGAAGAGGAGGCAATCCTCCTGGTCTGGCTGTTCCCCTACTCTTTTCCTCACCTCAATTCTGGGCACTCAGACTTGGTGGCACTTTTAGTGGCACCTTTGGAGCGTGGCTTGGGAAGGACTGGGACTGGGAACAGTGGACTCCTTGCTAGAAGAAGTGCGTGACCATCACAAGTCCTAGCAGGCTGAGGGCTGGGTAGAAGGGAGCTCTTGTCTATTCTGTGCTAAACTTCTAGGTAAAAAGATGATGTTTTCTAGATTAGACAAAAGATATAAGGAAGCAGTGGTAACAACATCAACAAAAACAACTTGGCCACTGTTACCCATTTGTGCAAGTTGGCAGCTTGCTGGAGCTATCGAGCTACTAAGACATGTTATAAAATATATATATCTGGTTAAAAGAGTTTCCATTTCTCCCTAGTGGGGACTGCATCATGTTTTAATTTCTGCAGTTGTTTTCCCAAGGCAGAGATGTTAACTACTGGTGCTTTATTGGTTCTTGGAGATGTTTTCCACTGTTGCCTTCATTATCATCTGACTGCTAACAATCATGAGAGGAAGAATTGCTGACTTGAAATCTGAATGGTTTTCAGTGAGTCCTTCTTCTTATAGACGATATCACTTACATTTATGTTCAGTTAAAAACCCCTTTCTAGTTTTTCATTACTTCATTTGGCTAGAAAGGGTGTAACATAGTTTCACGTCTTAGCATGCTGTAGCACATCATGTCAAAAGCAAATCTTACTTGCTTTCCACACATATCTTTGGCAAGCTTCTTTTCACAGAAATAGTTTATTTTAGCAATATTTAATAAATGGATCATGTGCTTTTTCTGTTCAACAATTGTGGTCACATCAGGAATCTTTAAGTTTGTTCTGGGGGAGGTCTATGTTCTTTTATGTTTTAATTGTAAAATTTAGAAACTTAATGTCTTCACCTCCAGAAAAAAGAAGGCAAAAAACCAACCCCAACCCCAAAAACCAACAAAACCTTTAAGTTTAAGGACTGAGCTTCTTTGGCAAGCTAGAATCTTGGCTTTGCTGTTGTGAGCAGTGTTGAGATGCTACCTGCTAAAGCATCAGGGCTGCTGTGCAAGGAGCGTGCGTGAAACCAGCCACTATTTCTGGAAGTTGTGCAATGAAAGTGGGATTATAATTTGTTTTGATCTGGCAATGGGAAAAATTTCCAAACTGACTTTTAAACTGCTGCTTGATCCCTTCTACTTTGTGGTTTCTCCTGAGCGTGTAGTGGCATCTCTACGTTTACCTTGGTTTAGAGACAGCCAAATGGTGTGGGCCTTTTCTTTGCTCGCAGCGTGTTTTGGGATTTCAGACTGTTTGCTGTATTGGGATGCTGTATTATCACGGTGTCCTGGCTGAAACACAAACTGCAAGTCGCTTATACTAAAATATTATGAAAGAGAATGCGAGCATCAACATACGCTGATAAAAAAAGTCTGCAAGGGCTTATATAAGCGTATGTAGATTACTTTAAACATGCAGTTAGTATGATAGGGCAGTTTACTGAAAAGGGCCAGCAGTCTGCGGTTTGTGCTGTAAGGGTGATAAGTTGGAAAAATACTTGTCCAATCTTGAGAAATACCTCCTCGGATCTTTATGGTTGTACTTTTTTTTCTCTTGAAAGGATATGAAGTGGGGTCTGAAAACATAGCATGTTCTTTCTTCTAATAAATTTATGTTGCATTCTTTAAAAATGAACATCATCTTTTTGTCTGTGGGAGGAGAAGCCTTGAAAAAAAACTAATAAAAAATCAATGCATAGGAGGGGGTTGGTTTTTAAATTTGTAAAACTTGTGGCTGCAGACAAAACTTAAAGGATTGTGTAGTATTATTGAGCTTAACTTCCTATAAGTTGTCTGTGAGCATTGGTTCATCTGATAATCATGTTGAAATCTGTTTACTTAAATTTAACCAGTGGGCACAGCGTCTGTCCATTTAAAAGGCCTGATGGTGGCTAGGGTGTGTTGGTCTACTCGATGGGATTATGTTAAACGTTCCTGAAGGGAATTCTCTTCCATCAAGGCAGTCTGTTTGAGTGAAGCCTTTAGTATAAGAATTTATACATTGGTACAATGAAACATTACAGCTGTTGGTGTAAAAAAGCCTGTCAGAATGTGTTCTCTGCTGTCTAAAGTGACTTACTGTATATAAATGTGTGTGTATTATGTATAATATATACATACATGCATACCTATACATTTATATATATATCTAAAAAGAAGAAACAGTGTTGAAAAGTTGAAGATAAATGAAATCAAAACTACCTGACAGCTATAGCTAGTTCCCCAATCTCTAATACGGAAAATGTAATTCTATGTTGTGAAAAAGGCATGAAATAGTTTATCTTCTATTTCATATGCTCATTAAATAATTCTCCTCTTAATTCCAAAAGTTATCTAATTCCTTGACAGTATTCTGACTTAAATCACAGTATTTCTTTGTTACCAAACGGTAAACTGTTACTGAGTAATGAAACCCAGTATCAGGGGTTTTTTTTATGAATGAGCAAGGTAAAACGTACTGTAAATGACGTGTAACAGTTTGTTGATCACTTTAGCAATTAACTGCAGCTGAAAAAAGTCTGCTTACTCAGGCTGGTCTTACTCTCCTTCTCTGAGGAAGCTCTGGATTTTAATGAAGGCCGTCCTGCAGTAAATAAACAAACTTCTACAAAGTTGTAAAAATGAAAATAAAATAAAATGCAATTTACTCATTTAATATCAAGCGCTCTCTCTCAAAATAGTGCAGATTGTGTAAGCTTGCTTTCTAAACATACTTTTTATTCAATCTAGTTCAATACCAGATGGAAATGATGCGAAGCCTTCGCCACGTAAACATTGATCATCTTCACGTTGGCTGGTACCAATCCACGTACTATGGCTCTTTTGTCACTCGTGCCCTCCTGGACTCCCAGTTCAGTTACCAGCACGCAATTGAGGAGTCTGTAGTTCTCATTTACGGTTAGTATGAGGTTTTCTTTATTATTCTTTTCCCCTCTTAATATTATTACTACTATTTTTGTATTCTGTCTTTTGCCTGTAAGAGTAGCCTGGCAGGCCTTTTCGAGTAAATACCAACCCTGTGTCTACGGCAGCCTCAGCAGCAGCTAAGTCTAGACAGGGTTTCCTTCTTTCTGTTTATTTTTCTTGCTATCAGAGCCCTGATGTGTACGTTTTGGAATGCTGGAGTAGCTGCTTCATTTTTATTCCTTCATCTCTCCTCCCTCCTCGAAGGGGCTGGTGGAACCCGACCAGATGTCTAACAAACCCCACTTGCTGGCGTGTCTGGCTCCCTACGTGACCGACCAATCATCACGCGAATTGCCAAGTTTTTTTTTTCTGCCTCTGACAGAAGCATACAAAACCTGGACTGTTTCTTAGCACAAAGATTTTTTTCTTTTCTGCCTATTTAATGGTGTTTCCTCAAGCTCTCCAGACCAGATGTTCTGTGCTGTATCAGAACCGTAGGCAATTTAACAGCTTTATAGCCTCCCCCTCCCCGAACACTCACAGTTTGCCATATCTGGCAGACTTGCATATAGTTTCCAGCTGAGAAGTAAATGTAACGTCCTGAGTATCTGTCAGAAAAAATACTAATGAATACGATCAATCTTATGAGCTGCCCCAAAATTGTTTCAGTATGTTAACAATTGGATTACAGTAAAGAACAAGTTGTTAAAGTATACTTATATTGGCTGGAAACATTGCATCATCAGACCTTGATGAATTTTCCACTTGTTTCAGTCTATTTTGGTTTTTGTTTTATCACCGATTGCTAAAAGTTTTACTGTGTTGAGTTTCAGACAACATGAATGTTAACACAGCTTTTATTCTTGTGTTGGCGTGCGTCAGCCGTTATCATGCTGCAAGTGTTAAGCTTCTTTGTCCTAGGAATGTAACAGTTTGTTTAGAAAATTTCCCCCTAAATTCAGTAGAGTGTGTCAAGGCAAAACTAATCTCTTTATATATCAGTTACATTGTTATGCACGAGGCAGCAGGGCAACTTGCTCTGAATTAGCTTATTGCTACTCTAAAATTACAATTTTTTGGGTATAAAATGTAGTTTAATGAATATTTTAATTTACTGCATAATGACTAGAGGGAAAAATCTTTATTTAAATGAGGTAGCTCTTACATAATTTCTGTAGATAGTTCGTGTGAAGGAAAAGAAAATGTGGATCAGACCTTTAATGGGGAAATATTGTTGAGAGTAGAATGGGTTTAGATCCCCCCATGTTCTCCAAGTGAAGTTTATTAATTAGATTCACTGTAAATAGTGGGATTTATTTTACATTTCAGTACAATAGGTTTACTTCTGCTATGGTCTCTGTGTTGGCTGTCTTAATTTTTCTTTTAATAGGACTACGTAGTTATTTTCCTCCAGTTTATGTAATTCAGATGTGAAAAAAAAAAAAAGGGAAAAAAAAAAAGCAATCTGGGGTTAGTGATAATACAGTTACTTCACTTTTAATTGTAGATCCCATTAAAACTGCCCAAGGGTCTTTGTCACTCAAGGCGTACAGGCTGACTCCCAAACTGATGGAAGTTTGCAAAGAAAAAGACTTCTCTCCGGAAGCGTAAGTAACATAAAAGAGTGTTTTCTCATAGGTCTTGCTGGATTATTTGGGAGGCAGAAGGGTAAATGGGATGTTGAAATGCTGTGTATTAACATCTCATGTAATCGTGTGCACTGGGGAAACTGGTTATGTGTGGGTAGCAATAGATGTGCGCTGACGCAGAGGGCTGTCTTTGGGCATTGGAATAAGGGTTGTGGTGGAGGAATTTGAACCGATTTTGGAGATTGTCAGCAGGCTGGCTGTACAGTGAAGATAGCGCTATCTGGGAACAGAGTAAAAAATATAAAAAAAGAAATGGAGAAGGGGAAATAGCTGGTCTGTCTTTTAAGCTCTTTTTTCCAGAAGGAAAATTGAACAGGTATTCTGGGATGGCTGTTCTTCTGTATTTATTCCAAATTAACTCCCCCATGTGGACACAGTTTTCTGGAGTAAGAAGGGTAATTACTGTTTCAAAAGCTTAGCCACTTGTAATAGACATGGGCCTTACCTGTCATCTTTCTCCCCAAACAGCTTGGTGTTCACACAAGCGCTTGTTAAACTTTCTTCATTGAGGAAACATGGAATCATTTAGTTGCTTGGTGTAACATTTCCACTGTGAACAAAGAAATTTGTGCTTAGTAAAAAAACCAAAACAAACAAAAAAAGAAATGGGAAGGGGAGGGAGTCAAAAAGCAGTTTTTAATCCCAGATTCCGTGATGCATACAGAGAAGTTAAGGATGCATTTCCTTAGAAACTTATATACCATGCCTTTATTTCCAGATTTGGTAAAAGATATTACTGTCTGTTTTATTATGAAGCAATACTAATAGTTTTTATACTTATATTGTAAAACAAATATACACTGGAGATTGATATTTTAATATCCACCATAGAATTTAATTATTCTGAAACACACTATTTTTTCAATCTAATTTTTGGTCAGTAAAAATTTTAATTATTCGGCTACTGGGGAAATTGTTTTTCATTGTAGTAGATACAACTCTAAAGATACTTCAGTGTCATGTGGCAACTAACTGTTCACTTCTAGTTAAGAAACCCTGATGACAGGGAAATCGGTAAAATATTTTGGAAGGGGCAGAGTTAATCCTGTCAGTGCAGTCTTTTGCTGGAGGGTTTTTCATGTAAGTGATATATTAGCAAGCAAAGCGACTGCTTGACTTCTGAGAGTTTTTCCCTAGAGCAGTTTTTTTTTTATTCCTAGTTTTTGTAAACGTGAGGTTTTGCCATGCATGCTCTCTTACCAAAGCTTGACTCTGATTATGGAACTATGAAAATCAAGAGTTTTTACAAAATTGTCTATTTAATGTACCTGGAACAACAGTTCAACAAAATGAATAAGAAAGTTACTGGTTATATTAATTAGTATTTAAAAACTTTTTTCACAGCTTGAAGAAAGCAAATATTGCTTATGAAAACATGTTTGAAGAAGTGCCCATTGTAATTAAGAATTCGTACCTGATCAATGTGATGTTGTGGGAACTGGAAAAGAAATCCGCAGTAGCCGATAGACATGAATTGCTCAGTCTGGCTAGCAGGTAAGTACTTGTTACAATAATGGATGTAGTTTTATTCGCTTTCCCAAACCACAGTTTAACACCTTGGGTGAAATCCCAGTCTCATTATAGTCCATGGAAGCTTTGCCTTGACTTTTAATGAGGTTAAGACTTTACCCTTCATGTTCTTTTGCTGAAGGAAAAAACTGCATGGTAAAATTTTATAGCATTAGAATCAAGGACTAAATTCAGACTGTAATCTGCATGTACCTGTACTGCTTGAACTATATAATCATATCAGTAGTGTTTATTTCTTCAAGAAATACTAACATTCAGAAAATCTGGGTAAATAGATCTGGAAATAAAAATTCTTTGTTAAATATTCCTTGAGTAGTTCTAGAAATTATTTTAATAAAAATAAAATTGCATTTGTACTACTTTGGTAGCAGGGTGCATTTGAAAATAAAACAAAACCTTTATCTGAGAAACTGGCAAGGGGAAGTGCTCAGACTGATTTTCCTGACAGCCAGCATTCACGGTGTCAGAAGTTGTTTAAGAGTTTCTGGAATGATCTTCTTGTAACTTTATCTAAGAGTAGTTTTTTGTTCTTGCAGCATTTTGCCCTGAAAATACATTTCTGATAACAAAGTAGGGATGACCTCTAGCGTTATGATCAGAAACATGGTAGTGCTTAAATCTGACACAACACAGTACAGTTAATTGGATTGTTACTGGGCTGACCAAAATAACCAGATGCACAAAGTGATACAGTATCTTGTTGCATGTAGAAACTGGGATGTATTCCGTAGAGGTTTTTGGGGTGTAACACTTTCTTTTTACATCACGAGATTGTCTGCCAGTATTCTGATCTCCTCTGACTGACAACCAAGTCAGCTGAATGTTAGTGGCCTCTTTTCTTTTTCCTTCCACTCCCATCATGTAAGGCTGTTGTTAGTGGATCCATATTGCTAGTGGTCCATATGTTGTCTGAGTTAGCAGAAATTTTCCACTCTCTTTTCTTAACTTGAGCTTTTGTGGATGTATTGAGGGATCTGGTATCTTTTAGAAAAGTTGGTCAAGAGAGAACAGGTATAGGGCTGAACTCTGCCAGGGGATTTACAAATGTCACAAGAGGTATGTGGTCAAGAATTTTCTCCAGCGAAGTTGTGACTTGGAATTAACAAATGGAAGATTTTTTTCCAAGATGTTCAGCCTGCTTGACTTTGCAAGCTTTCTGCCGGGCTCTTTCCTTGGTCAAAGATCACAAAGCTTCTACCATCTGAGGAGAGGGTGGGCTCTGGATGTAGGAGATGACAGTGATTCCTCATGCACTCTACGGCTTTACTGTGAAAAGGAGCACGATGCTGGGTATACAGCAGGTTTCCAGGTGGCCGGAGAGTGCTGCCCTTTGTTTCTATTGGTTTGCTCCTGTAAAAAGGGTGGGATTACCCAGCACCCTGGATCTTAGCATGGGCTGCTGTGAGTCATGCAATATTATTCTAGAAATGGAAATTAATTGGAATAGATCACAGATTAAGTTCTTCATCAGCTTTACATCTTATGTAGTAACTGTTCCATACCATTGCCCTGACTCAAGATAAAAGTTAAGAACTGTACAAATTCATTTTCTTTCTGGAATGATGGTGCTAATAGCCTGGTGCAAGACAGGCTTTTGTGTTGGTCCTCTCATCAGTAAATGAGATAAGAAGTAAACAGAAAAAACATGACCCCAGAAGAATAAGGAAACTCATTTGTGTTTGGGGATCCTTCACAACAGGAAAGAAACGAGAACTTTTTTCTTAGTGAATCAAGGTTTCTTTCCAATGGGTGTTCTCTTGGAGCAGGGCAGTGCTGTTCATGATGGTGACATGGGTGGACCGAATTCTTGATAAACCTGCTCAAAAGTGCCTTTTCAATGAAGTGTGTTTCTTTGAACTTACACAGTTACTATCCTACATACTGGCAGCAATTTCTTCAGCTTATTGAAGTCTAGAATTTCCCACTAATGGGGAATTAATTCAACAGCATCAACAGTTTGCAGAGGTATTTCTGAATTATGTCTCCTGAAATGACTTTCCTGGCAGCATTCTTCTGGCTCACCTGGTCTATTTGAGGAACTTAAGGTGCTTGGTTTTGTTTGAAGCAGAGTAAAGTTTTGGAAATTGCCCCAATGGGTTTATTTGCAGGTTTTTGGATGTGTCTTTTATGTAGTATTTGATAGCAGCATTTAGTTACAAGGCAGGTTATATTCAGTGATCTCTTACATTGGCATAACTCTGCTGGCCAATTAAAACATTTTAATGCTCACTTATTCAAGGCAGGGTGAGTTATACTGCCTGCTGAAATATTTAACTAGTTTTTACTTGAATTCGACAATGAAGATTTCTCTGTAAAAGAACATATTGCCTGAAGTAGGGGAGTTCAAACCCCCATTATTTATGTATTCAAAGCCCACTATGGAGTTTTATTTTCATTTTGCATTTCCTTATTTTTGTCTTGGAATAGTTGTGGCTAAAACATCTCGGGTATCAACTTTTGATTTTGGTGCGTGTCCTCCTCACTTAACTTTGCTATTGTCGAATTAGTTGGCAGTAGCTTTAAGTCTGCTTTTTTGGGGGAGTGGGGAGTGTTATTTGGGAGTTTCTCTGGTCCTTTGGGAGCATCCCTGTATGTTTTTTAATCTTCTGAAGCAGTGATTTTGGCAATGAAGTTATTTACCCATAGTTGTTCTCCTCTGGAGAGTTGCTTTCATCAAGATTCTCACATGTTCAGCCACCCACCTTGTCTGAGTTTGAAGCTGAACCTATTTGAGGCACTTTGCACCTTAACATCTTTCTCTTTTGAAGTACATTTGTGATAATTGTATGGAGTAGTTTACTTTTTTGGGCATAAATGTTGTGTTTCTGCTGTGAAATCTGAATTGTCTGGTATATTCTTTTTTTAAAGAGGTTGAAGGCAGAATAGCACAAGGCTAGCAAGTAATGGCAAGTAAAGGCCCTTTGCTCAAACTGTTATTCTGCTGCTACCCTTAAGGACCAAAATGTCTTGAAGACCTTGGAGTACTGCCAGTCTTTTGATAGAGACTCGAGAATTAAAATCCTGTCAGAAAATGTTCCAGATCTTCAGAGAAATAATTACAACCAACTTTCCCATTCTCATCCATCTCTTCCCTATTCTATTGATGATCTAGTTTAAATTGAAAAAAGCTTTTTTGTGGTCTAGCTTCATAATAGGGTTGTTCTATAATATCTCAATTTGTCTCAAGCAATTTTTCTAATAGTGTGCGTCAGTAGAAGCAAACATGTGCTGAACACTTACTGCAGTAACATCTACTTGGCAGATACATTTTTCAAACATCAGATGCAGTATTTTTGCAAAAGTGACATAAGTTGAGTTACTTTGGCTTTTGAAAACTATATTAACCTTTATACATTGTACTGCTTATTCAGAAATCTCAATGTGCTTAACGGATTATTAAGATAATTATGAAAATCTCTAATTTGCAGACGGAGGAAGCTGACACAGAGAGGGTAAATGTGTTGCCCAAAGGCACACATCAAAGCCTGAGTAGAAAAGGGAATGGAGCTCAAGACTCCTGACTTACATATCTCATGCAAACAAAATCCTCTTAAGAAGAGCACAGGTTGAACTCAGGCTGAAGTGCTGAGATGTAAACAAGTTCTGCTAAGCGGTGGGAACGTTCTTTAGAAATATTTAATAAAAAAGATGTGCTTTGCCCAGCAGTACCCCTCTAATCCACCCAAAGCTGTTCCCACTGGGAGGACAAACACTGCACAGGATGGCACCTCTCCCAAAAACCAGTGGCTCTGAGTTGGGACCTCAGCAGAGGTGATGGAAAATGGAAAAATGAGGCAGCAGATGCAGCACTGTCTTATGCTTCCTTTTGTTGCTCCCTCTTCTCATCTTCCTTAGCGAGGGTGCAAGCAAAATAAAATGAAATAAGTGAGTGGGTCTACTTGTGGTGACAGTAGTCGAGAGGACCATCTTTTTTGGACACCTCCAGCTTCAGAATTGTTGTGAGTTGCTGCCTCTCTTTAAAGCTTTGGTGCCTGACTCGAGGCTGCGTTTTGGGTGTTTTAAGCCCTTCAGCGAGTGTGCCTCTGGAGTCCTTTTCTGATTAAAGATGCTGAAGTAAATGTGGGCATCATGTGTGGTTCCCAATTATGAATCCTACAGAAGCAGAGCCAGTTTGAGGTTCCAGCCCCAGCTGCTTGCATCATTCTTCCTCACTGCCCCCATTTCATCTCTGCACCCCTCCCACCCTCAAAGTTTTTTATTCCCTCATCTGTTTCGGAGTATGGCTGTACAAATAGTTTTGCGGAATAGTCTAGTGGAAAAAGTCAGGCTCCTGCTCTCCAGCCTTTCCCTCAGCCTCCTTAAAAAAAAAAAAGAAACCCCAACAGAGGGTGTTTTTGCATTTCGAGTAGACTATTTCACTGAAAGAGTTTGAAGTTTGCCCACGCAAACAGCTGAATCCATACAGCTGAGAGTGCTGTAATCCTTGGGCAAAGGGGGAGGGAGAGGCAGGAAGATGCTGATGCTGGAACCTTTTAAACTGGCTCTGCTGGCAACATCAAACTGCACCTTAAGATATATCCGCAAAGGGAGGCTCTGGTGGTTCGAGCATTCCCTCACGAAGAGGGAGGCTTGCATTTGCGTCTCTGAGCCAGATCCGTATCCAAACAGGATGCCCTTGTGCAGTGTGTGATGCATGAGTTCAGTTAATGTATAGTTGCTGCTTTCCCTTTCTCTGGATGCTGGACCATACCACTGCAAAATGCCAGGTACACCTGCGGGAAGAGCAAGACAGAAAGGACCGTGGCTGTTACCTGCAGATCAGGCTGCTCTATTCACAGGGTTCTGCTGCTCATCTTCAAATTATTTGACCTTTGTATGTGATAATTGTTAAACAAGAAATTGGAAGTAATCCATGTGTCAAGGATTTGATTTCATATCTGCCCTTCTGGGGGAAGGATTGTGTCCTATCAAGTATAGGGCTGCTACAGCAAAAAAAGTACAGCATGAGCAACTGCTTTGCAGGCTGTGCTTTCTAGTCTGTTTTTTTTTTTCTAAACAGACTTTGACAGTTTGCCTTTAACGGTTTTTATGTTTTTGTAGTTCTTTGGCATTTTTGATTATACCATCCAAGCTACACAGCTAAGTCTCAAGTGATAAATTTCAGGTAGTTTTATGGGTGGCCAAGTGTAGGTGAGTGATCCTAAAAACAATTCTGGTGAAGGAGTGCTCTCCATATTTCCACATTAGATGTGTAAGAATCCACGTGACAGGTATTTTTTGACTGTCCGAAGTGCAGCAGAAGCTCCATTCTGTTTTTTCTGCTTTTATTATCTATATTTCCCCCAAAAAAGACCACAGTCCCCATGTGTGGACTTTCTG